GAAAACATGCTCTAATAATTGGTGCTTTCAGTTATAGCCGAGCTTCGCGCCTGGTGCATCGTATTCTATGCGGAACGATGACACACGTTGGGTAGTAAGCAAAATATGCTGACAGCATGTTTCATCTACATTGGCGTGTATCAACTTCGCTTTCTCAGGATTCCCAGGTACCTCCAGAGACGCGGATTGGGGGCATTGCGGTTTGTCCATTCGAAATGGCAGTGTCGTAGCAAGGCTTGTACGCAGATGTGTCGGTGTTGTCTGATCTGTGCGTCCTTGTCTTCGGATTGTGTTTAGGCACGTTTTGCCACGTTTTCAAGGGAGACAGAGACAAATGGGAAAGCCGAGTAAATATTGTTCTAGAGCTGCATAGCCATATAAAGTACCCTGGCATGATTCCAGTGACCACTGAACAATACCTCCCTGGACTGGGGATAGAAAAATGACCGATGTCTAACTAATCGAGTGAGAGTATACTGTAGGATGTCAATGAAGCCAAAAATATATATAAATTGTGGTGTCATGGAAGGTAACCTTGTAGATTTGAAAGAGTGAACGCCAACGTAATAGAATGTAGCAAATCTGTTTTGTGCTTCACTAGCCTCTGTTGCTTTTCTTATTTTTTCATATTCTTTGCAAGTCTCTTGCCACCACAATAAAATTTGTGCAAGTTGTCTTAATTGGCTTTCGAGGCAAGTGCTGAAGTTAGGTACCTAGCGCTAATATGGGTTCACACTCAGGAACATCGGGGTTACTCTCACAAATTTTAGAATTTGTAGTTCACTATTAAGTACTGAAGCACTATTTCATTTGAAACCATTTTTTTCTTGAAATTAGTAGATGTGGAATGGTGGGTTGAAATGCAGATATAAAAAAATATACATAGTCGCCTCGAGCTCCCCAAACTGGACGGCAAGCTATACAGCTAATGTTTGGACCAAGGTTTGAACTATGGGGATGGTAGATTATGAGTGGTTGTTGCTATAGGAACTTGAAGGCGTTTGACCATAATACTGTCAGGTATAGGCTAGTGTCGGCAGTCTTTTTTCTTTCTGTCGACTTTTATTTTTTATTTTATTTCATTTTATTTTTTTTTGTGTCCGTGCCCCCTTTTGCGCGTCTTTTCGATGTCCCCATAGTCAGTCCTCCGGGTTGCATGGGATGTATCCAACGCAAGTACAGAGTAGAAGAACATCAACAACTCGGGATAAAAAATTCAACTTAGTTTGGAACCTTAGTTGCATTCAGTCCTATCATATCATATCGTAAATCCTATCTGGGATGATATCATGTCAAGGCAATCGACTATTTCTCCGGGTTCTGGAGCCGAACTAGAGTGTTAGTAGCAGCTCCACCATGTCTCCAGTAGAAGAATCCAGCCACCCTTATAACCGGAGTCCTTCATTTCCTGTTCCTGGTACCTTTTTCGATTTTTTTTTTTTTTTTTCCCTTCCTTTGGCTGGGTCTTTCCTGCCCTTCCCGTCCACACAACGCGGGTTCTGGTTAGGGTTATTAATAGGAATCCGTCGTGATTTATATAGATTAGGGACAAGATCGGTGCCTTAGGCGATGGGGATAGACCACTCACTCCTGAGTTTACTAGTAGTAGGAAAGAGGAGAAGAGGTACTCTTTATCCCTGATCCCCACAACCAATAGAATGAAATTTTCTCACTCTTGACCAATCCGTTGCCAATATTTTGCCTTTTTGTTTTTCCACCCTGAATAAATTTTTTTTTGACATAATTTTCTGATTGATTGATTCCTGGGAAGGTGCATGAAATCCTTGGATGCCTGACCAAGAAGTGTAGGAGCATGCAGATGTCCCACGACCGAGCGGATGGGATGACGCCAGCGTCTGCTCTCCCACCTTCTGTCGAAAACCGTCATTCCAACTCTCGATCTCAACGACGACAAACCGTGTCTGCGGTGCATCCGACCATCCATGCAACACAGAGAGACGCGCCTCTTAATTCGGCTCGAATTTCCAGAGCGTCAGTATACGGCTCCGGGGTGAACCATTCGTCGGCGTCGGCCAGTGCAACCGTGACCGAGTTTCCCGCTCGACGTCCACGGAGCAATACCCTGGGGGTTCAGACAAAGTTTCTACCAGCCCAGCAGCAATCTCATCTCGCCCGCCTCGATCAACTCCGTCCCGGCGCCATGTTTGTGGACGATCCCCGTGACGCGGGCACCGCAACCGCGCTAACATCCGCCGGTCCCAGCGATTCACCAACAATAACAACAACCCCGACGGCTCAAGACATGATCTCCTCACCATCCAGAACCCCTGGCGCCTCTGCATCGCAACCCCACACGTCGGTCGCTTCAGCCCCCCGATTACCACAGAGTCGTTTCAACTTCGAATATCAGTTGCCCCTTCGCAGACGAACCCTAGCATCACACAGCTCCGTTATCGACACGTCCTCGAGCCTAAACCCGACGCCGACCCCCCAGCGCACTTTCCTGTACGACAGACCACGGCACTCAACCCAAGGCTTCAATTTGTCTCACGGTCGCGCTCCAAAGGAGTCATCTTCTCTACCCCCGTCGCCCCGGTTCGCTATAGACGACGATAGCGACTCTGCGCTGGCCCCTGATCCCGATTCGACCATCAAAGCACTGAGTCCCAATGCGACAAAGCGCCGGAAAGATTCCTTTTATGCCCAGCAAACGCTTCCAAGTGTAAAGAGGAGAATGCCATCGTACACAGCAACGTATACCGAAGGAAACGACCGCAGGCGCACCGTGAACGGTGTGAACAAATACGCGACAGAGGATGGCAATCGGACTCCAGTCGCGGACGACGCTCGATCCGACATCTTCCTGAATATCGCTCGGTCAGACTCAAGCCGTCGCGAATCCCTTGGACGGTCAGAACTTAGACGGGTGAGTAACGTATTTGCTTTGAAAGACGAACATACCAACAACCAGAGCATGGCCCTGCAAATGGATATCCGATGGGCCCTCCCCTGTTCAGCGTCTCGCCATATTTTGAATAATCTTTCGACTGTGAGCTGATGAGAAGATTGAAAACGTTACAGTCGCGAATGAGGATGTCCGGCAGTGGTCTGCGCTCTTCAACTTCCCGCGCCAACGAGCAAACGCCATCCCCCGATCAACTTCGGTTGAATTCCTACGAAAGCCCCTTGCATTCCAATCACGGATCGCCATCCCAGCCACGCAGTTCTCTAGCATATTCCTATTCGGCTTCCGCTCATCCATTAGACGATCATTCTCGTTCGCTTCATTCCGGCTTCATCTCCAGCTCCAAGTCGACTATTGGTGTACCGAGGAGTAGGCTAAGCCAGATCAGCCCAGATGATTCACCCGAGAAAACGTCCATCGAGAGACGAGGCTCATTACCGGACCCTAGAACGTATCGTCATTCAACGCTATCGACGATCCGAAGCAGTCGGCAGCCGTCTAGCTCTGAGGTCACAGAACGTCCCCGAGCCGAGCCCGATCGATCCCGACAAGATGGAACCGAGTCGACGCTGTCTACCACTGCACCTTCTACCGTCTGGGATGAGCTTGAGGATCTTAAATCCCGGATCCGCAAACTAGAACTTACTGGGAAGCTCCCCCCGTCTTCGCAGGAGGCTATCTCGTCCGCTTCTGCCGAACGGCCACGCACTGCGACAACTACGGTGACAACCGTCTCGTCTTCCCCAAAGCGCGGCCGCAAAACCAGCACCTCATCTCCTGGCTCCGATTCCATTCCCCCCACAAACCCCGTCCATCCCCTTTTACAATCTGCTTTGTCCAAAGCAAAAACTGTTTTGAATAAAGAAGTATATACAGCCTTAGAAGCTACTGCGACAGATGCCATATCACTGTCCACCACTTTGAGTATTAATAAAGCGCCATCTGGAAGTGTCTCCGTCGTGAACGGGTACGGTTCGTCCGACAGACTATCGAGACGGAAAGCGGATAGTGTTTGTCGCGGGTTAACCGAGCTCTGCCTTGCATTGTCGGATGAACAACTCCGTAGGCAGCAGGCCTCAAGCAAACCTGACGAAGCTACGCTAATGCAGCAGCCTATTGGCGCTGATGATGACACTTTGACTCCAACAACACCATATCGACGCAGTACGGTCCAGGAACCCGAAGTTATAAGCCGTCGGCAGAGTACCCGTGCCGCAAGCCGTCGGTCCAGCTTTGCAAGTCCGAGCGGCAATACCTCCAGCGAGAATACTAAAGAAGTTAACTGGAGTAATGATACAACAACACCCGATGCCAAGCAGGCACAGTCTCCTGGTCCTTCACTTCCCACAAGCCGGCTAAGCCGACTCGCGTCTTTACGGGCCCAAAGACGGCAACCCGAGGATGAACCTGCCGAGCACCGAAGCCCTCATGGCCGGTCAATATCGAGAAGCATGACGGATATCAGTAACCAGAGTTCCGCATATCGTGCCCCTCCGCGCCAACGATTTTCCCAGGGGTTTTCATCTCAAGCACCACAGCCCCAGCAAGACCAGGCTCCCAGGTACTCGGCGCAGTCCCAACAGTCGCAGTTGCCGCAACCCCGTACGCCAACTGCTTCGCAGTCCGGCATTCCACTCCGCAGAACCTTGATGACTCCCGCCACATCTCGCTCTAACATCCAAGCCGGGTCTCGTCGATATGGGTTGCCTTCCGGGATCTCTACTCCCGGTAAAGCCAACGACGAAGCACCCCTCTCCCCTCGACAGGATCCATCTCAAACGAGGATTATCGCCCCATCGAGCAAACTAGCAGCCAGCTATACCCCTATATCGCGTCCGAGAACGAACAGTTTTGGAACTACACGGAGGTTCGGCATCCGGCAACGACCCATGGCCATCTCTGATGGTGCAGTAAATCCCTTCGACGACAACATTGATTGAACGTTACGCCCTTTATCGTTTACACGTGGTGTTTTCTGCTCTGGAATACAATTACAACAACACACGTAGCTTACGCCCTTCATCTAACGCAGCGACTCATGCCTGGAATTTGGATACGGATCAGCCGGAGTTTATTTGTTAAATCGATTTTTTGCCTTCATTCGTCCCTTTGATTTTGGTCCTCAGCCTCACCATTGCATCATACGAAGCAACTCTGTGTACATCCATCCTAACGAGCGCAATTCTGTCTTGTATCTGATTCAAAGCATGCATGCCACGGGCGCACAAACGCATTGTATGAGAGAAACAAAAGAAAAAAAGGAAAAAAAAAAAAAAAAAGGATCTTGCCAAGTTGCTATCCTTACACGAGCGACTGACGAAAGACCTGCTCATTTGCCTGCCCATCCTTATCTCAACCTCATGACATCCTGTTTGTTTATTTTGTACATGTACAAAGGTTGGATCCAACCTGGACACGTTTGTTCGTTTCGGCGTGTGTGCTTTTCTTTTTTTCTTCTTTCCTCGATTTCAATGTACAAAATACTCTCTATCTCTTTTTTGTACGTGTCATGTTTCATTTACTTGGCCATCTTGTTCTCTTGGGAATAGAGCCGGGTTATGTATGTATATACAGTACATACCTAGGTAAGGGGGTGTAGTGTATTTCTTACATTCGTTCCCCGATGCATATACATATCTCATATTACTCCGTACTATTCTCTGTCTTTTGCGTATTTTCCTAATTTGATCTTCTCATCTGCCCGAGGTTGACGTTCGTGTGCTTCTGTGAGTTGTGATTGGAGATAGGGTTAGGTCATGTATGGATCTACAGAATTATTGGGTTCCATAATTATGCTTGTCCCGAACGGGTGTAGAGATGTTGTTATGTATGCAAGATCTGATCTGCAGGAATCTACGTCATTGGGCTGGTATAGATCATACTGCTTGTGATTTTTATTGATTTCTTTTTTTTTTTTTTTTTTTTTTTTTTTTTTTTTTTTTTTTTTTTTTTTTTTTTTTTTTTTTTTTTTTTTTTTTGTGTTTTCTCCACTGTATTCATTTGGATTCCGGGACGACCGGAGATCGTTGGAAAATGCTCTCACATTCAGAGCATACTAGCTATAGGAACAGGTCATTATCTTTGCTCTACTAGCAGCCATCTGTCATGATCTCAGACAAGATTTGCCTCAGATTGTTTTCTTCAGCCTCGGAATCCACTATGGATGAGGTACTCAGGTTCTGGATATACATGTCGGAGGAGTCTGTAGAAATTGAGGAATCAAGGAGATATAGGAAATAACAGGATAGGTCACAAGATAGATGCGTCAGGTAAACGGTGTTGAGAAGCTGCTCGAGGGGATAATTTCAATTAGACGGGAAGAAGACAGTGCCATTGAGGTGGGAAGGATCGCGGAGCAATACGGTGAATACTAGATACCGAGAGAATAGGAGGTAAGGAAAGGGTGGAGAAGCACTTTTTTCGGGAGGGAAGACGGAGCGGCAGGACAAGGCGGGACTAAAGGAAACAAGTCGGAAGAGATTTCAAGAACATTGCCTTGTCGGCCTTTCGAACTTTGAATCCTTTGAGACAAGGCGATCACCAAGGTCGTAAAGGGTTGGTATCAAACAGGCATGTGCAGTCCGTCCTAGCGAACCCTTGCTTCTTGTAAACCAAGAAAGCTGCACGATACGAGAAACACGAAAAATGTAAAATAAAAAAAACAACGGTAAGAAGCAACGTTATTAAGGAGAATGGGCGAACACAAAACGTGGCTGGGAAACTCCCAAGAGAGGCTAGGAGCATCTTCAGGATGGTAGGATGGAGTTTCTCGGACTAAGCCAATTGGTGTAAGGCATTTATTCCTGAGGGAGCTGGCTGCGGCGGGTCTTCTCGGCTTCGAGGTTTTCGTACAGAAGATACAAGGCTTTCTCATTCGCCTGAGCACTGCCCATGATGGTGAACATGCGCTCGCCGGTATCATCGTGAGGAGCCTTGGCGATCGAGATCCTCGCTCCAGAGCTCCTACGGATCTCAGTGATCTTGCTTCCACCTCTACCGATGATGCATCCCACCATGTCAGCAGGAATGCTGATGTTTTGCGTCTGGATTTCCTCGCCGTCCTCGGTGACCAGGGGATAGCCACGGTTTGATGTGTCGGGGTTGGAGCGTCTGCCGTAGCCGCCGGACTGGTCGCTAAAGTCGGCACCATTGCCGGTACGGTTGTAGGGACGGCTGCTATAGCCGTTGCCCACGTTTTGGTTGACTGGGGTGGTGCCAACAGATGCACGCACAGCGGGGTTGTACAGGATGGTACCGGTGCCCCGCTGCCAGTCATCAATAAGGCATTTTCCAATTTCCCAGACAGCCTTCTCGATGCCTTCCGGAGTACCCTGCACTTCAACAATTCGCTCGGTAGACTGGGGAAGCATTTCCTTCTGGGCGACCATTCGTACACCGGAAGCATCCTGGATGTGCTTGATTTTCAGGCCGGACCGTCCGATGATAGTGCCCATTTGGTTGTGGGAAATGAGGAGGCGAACCGCTGCCATATGTTAGTTGGTCTTTCCCATGATACTTGACGGGGTCAGATACACATACGATGAGTTCCATTGTTTGATACGATGCCACCCATACCCATTTGCGGGGCACCTTCTAGCAAGCCCTTGGCGACCAAAGCGTAGGCCCTAGCAGTACCTTGTAGAGGACCGGTCACCGTCAGGACTCGATCGTGAACACCCGGAACAACCTTGCTCACGCCGGCCTTAACACCGGTTTCATCGCGCAGGTCAGCAACATTTTTACCGGCCTTGCCAATGATCACGCCGGCTTCCTTGGACGAAACGATCGCACGGAGGGTCAGCATCGACTGGGCGTATTCTTCTTCGGTCTTCGGAGTAATGTCCATGTCACCCTCGTCGACCATGTTGACCGCATCAGTCATAGTCTCATCAACAACTTGGGTATCGTGAAGCTCGGCGGAGTCCATTATGTCGAAGGAGCGAAGAGATCAATTAGACGACGAAAGATTCGATGATTAGGAGATCAGGATATCTTTAGCAAAGATTCTTTTCGCCAGTTAGCTGACAAACCTTAATGAGTGACAAGAGAGGTCGCGCGATCAACATCCATGCTTTTAGTGTTTGGGTTGAATCAAAGAGTGAAAGGGTGGGTTGTGAAAGAGACATGTACGTAATATGTTGACGGCGCGATGAGATAGACAAGCACAGATGTACCGGTTACTTACCCAAGGATGAGAGAGGTGGCGCACGAGGAGAATGGAGGTTGCGTGGAAATAGAGTATTGATGGCCAAAGGAACCGAGAAGGAGGGGGGGGGATAAAGATCAGTCAGTGGACGGAGAGGGGGCGAATGAACCACTGTGATTTCAGAGGGGTTTCGGCGGGCGGGGGAAGAGGACGTGGAGGAATCACGGACAAGAGACGATGGTAGGCGGAGGGGAAAGGAAACGGAAGAAAGAAGAGGAGGAGAAAAAGAAGAGGAGGGAGGGGGTGAAAGAAGGGAGACGTAGCGGAAGAGAAGGTGAAGGTTGAAGAGGAGAGTGAAGATCGGGGGCAGAAGGGGAAGAAGAAAGATGAGCAAAGGCAAAAGAGAGAGAACGGAAAAAGAAAGAGACAAGCGGAAGCAATGAGAAGTTTGGGCTTAGTTTTACTTTTCTGGTTAGTACCACAGCCGCTTTTCATAAATTCTCCCACTTACTCTGGACTGAATGAATGCACTTATTCTTCTGTCTTTTGCTGAATCTTTCTCTTTGGTATTTTTCTTTTTTTTGGTTGAAATTCAATTTGTTACGTATCGGCCAACCGTTTTTGTCGGGTGGATAAATCGACTCGTTCCTCTTCCTCCATTTACTTTCATTCATTGCTAAACAACTTGATTCCATTTCGAACAGATCAACAAACCATACCATCAAGAATGTATGGCTAAGGATGGATTGACGTCTATGGAACCTTCCTGCACCAACTAAACTCATCTCACGCCTAACCTTAACGGCATGTACACCGTCCCACTATGTACACCACAGCCTATCTATACATGAAATCAACGCATTCATCTTCAAAACATCAAGGCTCTCGGCCATTTCTTTCTCCATTGGGTCCGCACTTATTCTCCAGCTTTGAAGATCACCTTCTGCACTTTCATTGCATTGAAAAGCTCGTATCCTTCTACAGCTTCAGACAGCGGCATGATCTTGTCCGCCATGAATCTAATTCCACTCATTTCGTTAGATATGTAAACCGTCACCAACAACGAGGGACAAACCGAAAAGAAAAAGAAAAAGAAAGACCCACCCTAACTTATGCTGATTCTTTTTCAAGACCTCCAACGCTTGAGGAAACACCGACCTCACAGGGCATCGACCCATTTGGATTCTCAGGTTTTTGTCATATGCATCGTTTCCTGCCCATGGAATCTACGAAAAAATTAGCATCGTACGACACCATAAAATAGGGCTGTATTGCCGGGGTGTCCTTACTTCTCCATTGTGGACTCCAACGCTACTAATCGTCCCCCAGGGACGCAGCAGATCAAAGCCAGTCCTCAGTGCCGGGCTCAACCCAACTACTTCAATCACAGCGTCTGCACCCCTTCCATTCGTCAGTTCTTTCACCCGCTTGTCCAATCCTTCCCGGTCTTGCTGGAAGTTCCAAGGCTCAGCCCCAAGGGATCTTGCCAGCTCAAGTCTCGACGGAATAGAGTCCACAGCCAGGAGATGCTTGGGCTTGAACTCCAGCGCATTGATCAGTGCGCAGAGCCCAACCGGTCCGCAGCCGATTAGTACGACTGTCTGCTCGGAGATTTGCTCCGGGGTGTACCCCTTGAAGGCATTGCTGGCCGCAAAGTAGCCCGTCGGGAATATGTCTGCCATGAGCACGAGGTATTTTTCCTCGACACCTTCGGGGGTTTTCATCACCGTTCCGTCTGCATTTGGGATGCGGACCTAATAGGGACCGTCACCATCAGATGCCCCGTAGATTGTAAGCCTATGACGAAGTCACTTACGTATTCGGCCTGTGCTCCATCCAGATGATCACACCCGAAAAGCACGCTCTTTTCACAGCGAGAGGAAAACCCTTGCTTGCAGTAGAAACATTCGCCACTATGAGAATAGTCAGCGTCCACCCAAGAGACACTTCCGACAGCTAGAGCACTAGCATTCAATACCTCACTCCCCTGAAAAGCATGTAGCCAGTACTTACCAAGAAGTCGTAAAAGCACTCACGACCATATCGCCCTTCTGAATGGATTTAACGCCACTCCCGACCTCAACAGCCTCACCCGTAACTTCATGGCCCATAACAAATCCCGTACCGGCGGGTTCGATACCACGAAATGTGTGGAGATCACTGCAATAGTTAGCGGCCGTTTGTCTAAAGCGTAACACGGGGAAATCGGGATGTCATCGTTGCCCTACCTTCCACAAAGCGCAGTGTATGTTACTTTAACGACAATATCCCCCGCATCTTGGATCTTGGGGATTGGTCGTTCTTCAACGGCCACTTTATAAGGGCTGTGAAACACTACCGCGCGCATCTTGTTTTCCGTGGTCATCTTGTAAACTGATCAAGGTTATGGAAGAAGGTGTATACAAGGAACTTTCTTCGTCGCAGAGTCGGGTCATTGAATCGAAAGTACGTGAAATGTGCCGATTTGGAGAAACCAAGACCCCCACATCCGATAAACGGCCGCTGCATTTTCTTTGCCCCTCGGTTTATGATAACTGTGGGGCTGTCACCCCCAACACTCCCATGAACAAAATTTCAAGCATCTGAAAACTATTGGTCCGGGCCAAAAAAGAGGCACTACATGTCTAATAGCTAAGAGAGACATGAGACCCTTCTGTAGGGGGGAAAGCTGAGTTATTCTGTTACATTTCATTCTAGCCTCATGATCCAGGAGAATAAAATGACGATTGCAGATTTCACAGGCTCTTGAATTGAAGCACAAAGGGTACAGAATGTCGAGTATGGATTCAAGCCGAATGTCCTCGAATACGCCAAAACTGATGTGCTGTGAAACCCGGTTCTCAAAGTCGGTCAAAGCAAAACATAGTGCACCATTCAACGCCTTTGCCTTACGCCACGATTGGAAATGCTCACTGTATCAATCAGTCTTTGTAAGTGTCGCTGCAAGTCCTTCTCTGGAAGCCTCACAGTAACTGAACCCGCCATGTTACCGTACGCCTTTAGAAAGGACGCCTGCCCGCGTTCAGGAAGATGAGGCGCCTTAGCACACCACGCACAAAAGTTCTTCTTCCAGGATGAATTTGCCCTCCTTGTACTTCTCGCTGGTCTCATACGCCTTGTCATACTTCCACCCTACCGTTTCCCTGCATTGTCTGCAAGCGATGTCTCGAACGACATGCCTCCCAGTGGTCATGCTACGCTCCACCGCTTCGGATTGTGTGATGTTGACGACGTTGTTGAATAGATATGCTTTGCCATGCTGGCCACGGAAGTTCTGCGGGAAGGTCTTTCAGTCAGTACATGTCTTTTGTGTTGACGGATATGGAGGATGGGCACCCACTCTGCTGATGATATCGTCATAATCCGCAAGGTGCGTCTTGCACTGCCTGCATCCAAAGATCTTATTGGAAGTGAGGTAGACGTTATACGCGAGACCCATTATGATCTGCTCTAGCTCCTCTTTCCCACTTCCGGCAGCGAGGTATCCGTCCTGGAATGTGAGTGTGACAAGACAAAGGTGGGTGATCGTATGTGGTCTATTATGAAGATAAGATGTGGCAGAAGGGAGTAGAACAAGATCAATGAATGATGTCTTCTTCTTGAGGTCCCCGCCTTGCCTGGGATTGATTTTCCTTTGCAAGGGGAACCCGACCTGGTCGTAACTTCAGCGACGGTTTGATTTGAGGAAAGACTCAAGTTTGGAAGTTCGAAACAGTGTCGGGAACCGATAGATCAACCAGATGTGCTGGACCCTTCTGTCCCTCTAAGTTTAGTGGTAGTTGAGATAAGCTCGATAGGAAAGTACGCAAGAAGTCTTCAAGGTAGCAGCGGGATCGAGAAGAAGTGGGGAACTTGTAACCCACGGCAAGACGTAAGATTGAATGATGACGCCAGCTCACAGCAGTGAATCTAAATTTACCATCAGACGATGAATGACGAGACACCAAGGTAGGAAGGGAAGATAAGGAGCGGTCGGGTGATAGTTAAAGGGGAGACAAGAGACCAACAAGTTGGAATGTATCACCAGTCAGGTAGACAATGAAATCGGTGGTTGTCCGGAGCCGTAGGCTGACCATCGGGCAGCTGCCTCAGGTCCCCCCAGTGTAATATTACGGGGATAAACCGATTAAAGGTATGGGGACGGAGGAGATGCCGGAGCAAAACCACAACCCCGCATCAGGCCAATCGAAATGCGTAAAAATCCATGAAACTCCCAGGTGAAACCCAGCGGAAGATTTTAATTAGCTAGATATCAACTGGCCAGTGTCTGGGCTTGGGTAATGTGAGTTGTCCAAATGACTTGTTGTGTCTTATCATTTGTTATCGGAGGACCCGCAGACTGCGTTAACCTTAGTAGGTACTAGGTAGTACTAGTATCTACCTCGTAGGTACTCATGATACCATGTATTGGTTTAACCGCAACGGGTCTAGTTTACGGCGCAATTACAATCATCGTCATCATTCATCACGGATCGAAGCTGCAGGCACTTGATCCTGCGTGAATATCACTGATGCTCTGGGCTATGGCTATTGGCTGAGTCAATATTAGTGCTAAGCGTAAGCAGGTGTACCTGGCAGCTCTCAGATCTTCTGGCAATATTCTGTTGCCAGGGTTGTAAGTAATTCACTGTACTGGGGCGGGGCGTAGAGCAGGTCAGGCCCTTCTAGCTCTATAATCCGATAGCTTAAAACTCGTAGATATAGTCAAGGATCAGTTTGTTGTAGAGGAGGCTCATCTTTGACCGAGTAAGGCAACGTTGGTCTCCCAGAATTGTCTACACTCAGTATGACCCCAATGATCGGTCCACCACTCTCCGAAGCTATCCTCTACCTGGTCATCAACCTTGGGTAGTCGTTCCTCTCTTTTTAGCCCGCAAAGGGCACAAGCATGGGAAGCTTTCAAGGCTCCCTGTTCAGGGGTGGCAGTCATCGCTCGGATGTTGGGAGGAATGACATGAATTGGACGTCTGCCAGATGCCTGGATCACAGAATTAAACAGGGCGGTCCGGTCCCGCCACATAGATATCACGTCAACAGCTTCTTGTTGTTCCTTGATGTCCTCATTTTTATTGACCGTATTAAGTTTCATTCCTCCTGGCTTCCCTGCGCGTGCTGGGCCGATCCTCATGCTCTGACTCAGGATGCTATCCCTTTTCCATCGCAATGTGCGGCCCGCAACAACCCGAGCTGCTGCTTTCAGAGTGCAAAGAATCAGCAGGGCAACATTCTCAATATTTTGCTTTTCTTGGACGTTTTTTCTAGCTTCAGTAGCCTCCTTTCGGAGTTGATCAAAAAGTCGAGGGAATAACTCCAACAGAACAGATGGTGGAGGTATATTCGTTGGGCGGATCTGAGCAGGAGAGACAGCGCTACTTGATATGTTGAACGTTGGAGAAATCTGTTTCTCTAGGTTGGTGGCGGCCTTTGCTTTCTGGATTGGTACCTTTGCAGAAGCAAGTCTTTGGCTCCCAACACTCTTGGAGGGTTCCGTAGGTGGGCCGTCTACAAAGTCACCCCAGTCACCAAAAGCATCTTCATCATCAGGTATGCCGGAAGCTGTAGATGTAACATTGCTGTTTTTATTAACAAGTGTGCTGGAGGCTTGAGAATGCCTTTGCGGTGATTTATCTTCTATTGATAACGAGTCTAGCAAATCAAGATGATTGGGCGAGACTGCAAGGTTTTTCAGCTCATTTGGACCCTTCGTTGACTGACGTGAAGCATTTCCCTCAGTGTGACTAAGAATTTCTGGTGCGGCTTGACAAGACGGAGTATCCGCAGATTCGAACTCCCCCCAGTCTTCACTACTGTCGTCGGGAGGGTCTTCCAAGGTGGCATCAAATAGAACATTACTGTCCTTGCCATAGCGCATCGAATGTGATGCATTAGACTTTCCCAATGCATTTCGATGGGTCGCTAACGCCCGTGGCTGAATAGTGTGTGACGTAGATGCTGTGGGAGCATTGTCGAAGGTTTCTAGTTCGGGGATTAGAGATGTTGCATCGGCAGGTCGAGCCCCCTTCTGGGCTGCAGTCCCTGAGGACTGATTAGCTGGGGCCCCGAATCCAAATTCCGCGAATAAGTCCGCCGACATTGACGTTGGGAGTGGAACGATTCCTTTCGCGAAGGTACTGCGCTTAAGCTAGCTGCTGAATATCGTGACGGTTATGAGAAGGGTGCTCGGTGGTTCGGGGATGCCAAGACATGTACCCAATCTTCGCATCTTTCCCGCCATTGATTCAACCCCACGATTCAATGACGCCTACTGTCAGATCAACACATGGGGAAATGAGGGATATAGAGGAAATAAGGTAAAACGGCATGCTACCGGTAACTACGTTTTATTAGTCTTTCTGACAAAGTTGTTCTTTTCTCAGACAGCGATGGAATGTCCTCTTCCGCGACAATAACACCACCTCCGACCTCCGAGCAGCGCTTAGAGCAGAGCAAGGAGAGAAGCTGTGCAACGACGGACTAAGATCAATCTGTTGGAAGGTGCGCGATTTTTACCACTAGGATATGACTCTCAAATGTGCTTATCTGGATGCAGGCATTCCTGCACTTCGACAACCTCGATCGCACACAATGGCCGCAAAAGATATCCGATTCCCGAAACGCCTATGGAGCGCTGAAAGCTCATTTCATGAAATATATTGAGCATCCCGATGATCTGCAGTCAACTGTGGATCCACTGGCGGATGATGCAGAGGTATGCCACCTTGAGCTGATTGGTTTAGAGTATTAGGACTTGTATCTCTGACGAGCGCACGTATAGTCTCCTTGGCAAACACTACGACAGGACGAGCAGATGAGAGCAGATATATCCCAAGATGTGGATCGATGCTTGCAGGAAAATTTCTTCTTCCGGGAACCAGCGACCAAGGCGAAAATGACCGATATTCTCTTTATATATGCGAAACTCAACCCAGACCTAGGTTATCGCCAAGGAATGCATGAGCTGTTGGCGCCCATCTTGTGGGTTATAGACAGAGATGCAATTGAAGAAGCCTCCCGGGAGGGGGTCGACCATACAGAAGAGGATGATAGCTCAATGCTACAGCTCCTTGATGCCAACTATGTCGAGCATGACTCTTTTACACTTTTCTGTTCGGTTATGCAAACTGCCCGAGTATACTATGAGCACAATAGACAGCGATCTGCGAGCGGGCAGATGGACGTTGTACCAATTGTCAACCAATGCGAACATATCCATAATGATCTATTAACGACCACGGACTTAGAGTTAGCAGATCATCTTCAGGCACTGGAAATTCTGCCCCAAATATTCCTTACGTGGGTAAAGCTCCATTTATCAGTGAACCTCGATGCTAACTGGTTCGAGAAGGCGTTGGATGCGTCTCTTATTTGGTCGCGAGTTCCAATTCCAAGACGTTCTTATTCTCTGGGATTTTCTCTTTTCTGAGGGTCTACGGCAAGAGCTAGTCGAGTTTGTGTGCGTTGCAATGCTGCTCAGGATTCGCTGGCAATGTTCGTTACCTGGATATCGTCTTCTATAGTTTCTTTGCGCTGACTTTACTTAGTACTGGACGCTGATTGCTCGACTGCGTTGACCATGTTGCTTCGCTATCCCTCTCCCCACCCCCACGAGCCATACAGCTTTGTACTAGATGGCTTATATCTAGAACAGAACCCAACCTCCGACAGAGGAACTTTTATTATCTCGAAGTATTCCGGCAAGCCGCCTGATTCATTGAAACGTGTCAGTCAACCAGGCACGAGGCGTGTTTCCGGGAGGAAATTTCATCCACGCGGCGATGCAAGGAACATGAGCGAGACTAGCTCCCCTTCCAGATCACCTGCAAGGAACAGTCCCAAGAGCCTTGAGGCGCTTTTCCAAGATGTGTCGGAAGGCATTCAGCGACGGACGGAATCTTGGGGAGTAGCCAAGGCTGTCCGAGGCGCGGTAAGTGAGGCGAAAAGGAACATGCAGACGATCCAATCGGAACACAATCCTCGAATGATGAGACACGGAGATTCGCCCTTGAGCCGTACTTCCGATGCACGGTCGATTCAAGAATCCGATTCCGTCGCTCAGTTGAAAACGAAGGTCCAAGAGTTGGAAGAACGCAATAGGATGCTGGCGAGGTCATTGAGTCAGGCGCTAAATGATATTCGCTCTCGCTTGATGAAAGCAGAAGGGCTTGACCATGCTACAGCAGACGCCATGAAACAGGGTCTCGCCAAGGTTCAATCAGTCCAGACATGCCTCGAGAGCCCTTCTGCGTCTCTCCGCTCCGCAAATCGATCTCCAAGCATAGCTGGCGATACGATTTCCGCGAGGCTACCTAATCAGTCAGATGTGGGAGGTGACAAAGCCGAACGCTCTCCATCGGTTACCAGCAGAGTCGGAGAGTCTGGGACATCGTCCAGCTCTTCGGTGGAAGGTGAACCGAAAGCCCATGACCGAGCTCGAATCCCCACCTCACTACCACTACGACCGGCAACACGCCCATCATTGGCTGAATCTGAATTTTCTTGGATGCTTGGTGGCAGCCGGCATATCTCTAGTTTTGTTAGCCCGGCATCCGTGCCGCCCGAACAAACTCGGCACGGCCCTAAACCGAACGCTCTGTTCGGCAGCGGAGATGAAGAACAAAGACCGTATGCCGAACCTAATGACTTGGCCTTGCGGAGCCTTCGAGGTCCCAAGAGCAGACAATAGGCTACCGGTGGTGGCGTCTTTTCTCTTTTCTTTTTCGTAAAGCCTACTTCTCATTGTACCTCTCTTCCCTTGTAAACCCGATATACCCGACTCGTGTTCATTGCATTAGACGCACGTTACAATTACTTCCCATTCCTAATCTTTATTCGAAGAAGAGCAAAGTACCCCACCTATGTCGTCATAAATGTATCGGGAATGTTGCTGGAAAAATAAGAATCGACTATTGGTCACTTTTGAACAACGTCCCAGTACTCAAGTATTCCTCATGCGCATGCCGCGGAAGGTTATACACAGTATAACGCCGTCTTTGCCACCTCCGCATGGACCTCGGATTATGCACTTGTATTGTACTACTACCGTTGACATATGAAATCATTTCCAAAGGTCAAGTTACCAACGCCGAGCTTCGCTTTATCACTGGAGGTGACGAAGAGAATGTTGGTTGCATGCCACTAGAGATGCCTGCGGTAAGGGATGATGCACTCATGGTTGGTTCGCGTCCAAGCACCTTTTCTCTCTCTCTCTTTTTCACTTTTTTTTTTCTTTGTTTTTCCTTTTTCGCCCGAAGGAACTATATCGCACCCAGTAAAAGACGGCAGAATGAACCTTCAAATGGGCCACCCAAGAATATATACGATGGCTGATCTGCGCCGTGGTTCTAATGGGCTATGGTTCGTTCGCTAGTTACTCCATCCGTTCCAAGATTTCGATCCACCTGTGAGACTGTGAAGATCTTCCACAAGACCAGGTTTCATTAGTTCTCGGATCCGCCATGAAAGGGAAGAACATGGTCGGTCAGAGTTTTATCGCGAGCCAGAGCAGAGAAGGCGCGCAAAGTATAGAGCGCAAAAGCGATATACCAAAGAAAATGAGCGAAGAGGCTGGTTCGTATGACAGAAACGTTAGGCTCTATATCAAGGGTCTGGGGTGACCGGTTCCGCAGAATTTATGGTGAAACCGGTGGTTCAAGCCGACGAGGGGCTCAATCAATTGTAAATTTACCCAGTAATTGAATGGTTAAACAGTAGTACTAATTACTAGTATCTGAATTCAGCTTCAAGTATATGCAGAATTACATCACCATTTCTGGAGTACTACGTCGACGAGGGTTTCTGTTCCCTTAGGCATTAACTCCGTACAGCGAGTCCATCGGGTTGGGTTACAACAGAATGGGGAAAAAATGATTTATTTTAAAAATACAGTCAAGTCAGATTTCTTTGGCATTTACTTATTTCGTCTCTTTCCTGTTTCCGAATGCCCCCTTTACTTTTTACTTTCTCTAGACTCTCTTGCCATTCAACTGCATTGGATTCCTTGTCTTGTTAATCCCAGTCTTTCCTTTCTTGCGTACAATTAATAGAATTGTACAGATAATAAAAGTCGGACTAAAAGAGGCTGGCGAAAAGACAGCCCCAAGGAATCGGAAGAACAGACCGTCGAACCTCCTTCCTTCATTTTCTCCACCAGTCCTTCCCCTCACTAGTATTCTCAACTAGTCTCCTCCTGTGCTTCCAAACATTTTTCTTCGTCTGTTCACCGTCTCGATTTGTCCCTCGCCGTTGGTTCATTGGTTGTATGTTACTGTGGCTTTAATCGCCAACCCCATAAAAACACTTTATTTTTTGTATTTTTTTTTTTTTTTACTTTTTCTCGTTCACATTCACCTCCACAACCTTTTTGAAAATATATATATCAATATAAAAAAAAAGAGGGGATAACACAAAGAGAAAGAAAGAAAGAAAAACAAGGAAAACGATAGTCTCCAATTGTTTTTCTTTTTTCTTTTCTCTCAAGCCGAGCGCGAAACAATTGTCGAACCATCTACGACGGGAGTCGTACGTACTTTGACTATTTACTCCCTAAGCTAACTACTTAGTTGTGCCCGCATGCTTCGTCTCCTTCGCGAACCGCACTCCGGATGGTACCTGTGACCTCACCAGGCAGCTGCCCTCTCTTCTCTCTCCTTTTCCTTGTCACGCTGACACTTCTTTGAAACTCTTCTTCTTCTCTCCTCGGCGGCTGACCGGCTCATTCTCGCCTCCGGGAGAGTCACGGAAAGAGTCGCCATTAAGCCAAGTGGGTTGATCTTTGCATCGATCGCGGTAACATTTTCTTGAGTCCCAGTGCGCCGATTTCTTAATAAACCCAACATACCCGCCCAAAAAGCAAAAAAGGGAAGAAAAAAAGAGAGCAAGGATTATCCTTCTCCATCCCGCTAAAACCAACTACTTGTGGTCGACTTGTTTTACCATTCCATGTAGCAGTATATATCGCAAACCCACTCTCTCACATTCCTACTAGGCCTCCCCTTATACTCGAGGTCTTTAAGCCGCCCGAGTTCAATCGGCCCGACCGATACTGGTCGCTTTCCTGTTACCTGTTGGGGAAACTATGGGGTCAGCTTCCTATAATCCCGATGGTTAGTCAGGGCCCTTTTCTTCTCAATCTGCCTGCTACTCCTGTTTCTCTTCCCTCCCTGCATAGTCTGATTGTGCGTTGTGGTCGTTTGGTCTCGAAAAATGGGACTTTGGCGGGGTTGAGAATGGATCGGACGTGTTTGGTAGCAGCTGTCGATCAACAAATTTACTGCATTGAGAAGGGATGAGAAGCCAGAGGTAAATACAAGCCACAGGCAGTGAAAGGAGACACGAGCAGAACCAAAAGGAATAGCGACCGAGTTATGATGCCTACTGAGACTTACCTCATTCATTTCGATATCTCTTCAGTTCAGTTGCTCCGCAAGGCTCCTTTTCTTTATTTCTCCCTTTCTTTTATTTGTTGGCTTTTCCTGAGATAGTGAAGAAACGGAAAGAAGTTGAGAGTCACTCGGCTGACTGTATCTGGTTAATAGGCGAACCAAGTCCGTTATCCTCCCCTCTGGGTCCCCTTTCAGAGTCGCCAGAGACCGACCCTTTTGTTGGACTCGATCCGGGCCGTACAAATGATTCTATGAGAGGTTCAGTGGAAACCCTTTCGTCCTATGATCACCTTTCAAGGTACGTGGATGAAGGACGGGAAACACCTCCTTGCGTTGACCAGAACCGGATGCAATTGCAGCAACACAAGAGACACTAAGAAAATTCTTCCCCTGCAGGTCACCCCTGATTGAACATGAACATGGACTTGGTCCGTCGGGCCTGGATCGTATCCGTCAACCCTCACGAGTCTTGACCCTGCCGAACATGTCGACTTCATCGCTGATTCCTGTCACATCCCGAAGCCACTCGCCCTCACCTCGCTCTCGGTCAACCTCACGGACATATTCCACGCGGATCTCCTTGAATGACGCTAGCGCCTTAGAGGATCTCCATCGATTCCCTTGTGAATCCTTACACTCATTCTCCTTTTCTCAACAATCAGAGGAGCTACTACACAGCCGTCAGAACATATTGAAAAGATCCATAGACTTCATGCGCGACCGCTTTGGATGGGCTGCAAACGGTCCTGGAATTGTGAATGCGCAGGCGCGCATATGTGGTGATGCAGAGGTTCAAAGCGTTGTGGATTTGCTGTCAAAGGCCAACGTCGTGGGAAGGGAGGACCGATATAACTACGCACGCGGCCCTATGACTGGTCCTGCAGTCGTGGACACAGGCGATGTCTTCGAGAAAGCTTTCTCCGAGCCCCAGCGCCCGATGACTGAGATCAAAGAACTACCTCATGGATCTGCACCAAAGACGAAACAAGCGGATTCCGTGAGCGACTTAGCCGGCCCCCAAGTCTCAACTCAACGGAGAGGGAGAAGGTCCACCCCCTCATCCAGGCGCGTAAGCTTAAAACGTACATACACGGATGTTAGCTCTGGTACCCTTCAGGGCAAGCTGATGGAAAGTCTAGCACAACCCTATTCTGCCACGGAGCCCTTCTCCCCGACCAGCACCACTTTCGGATTTGGACTCCCGGTACCTGTCTTACACACCCATAGCAGTAAATGGACACCAGTTTCACAGGCCGTTTTTAGAACTGAGTCTCGGGCCCCATGGACCATATTGGCAGCCAACGATCTATCGTGTCTGATATTTGGTGTGACACAAGCGGAGCTCCGCAGGTTAAGTATTCTTGAAGTCGTACAGAAAGACCGGAGACAGTGGCTAGAATCTAAGCTGCGGGATCCCTCTACCGATGTTGCGGCCAAGCTTCCGGAGAGACCCCGCATGACGCCCGTTAATCCCAAATCTATGGGGATGGGAAATGGTGTTACAGCTCAGCTTCTTAGCAAACCGCCTTCCCGAGCAAGGAGGGCACAAACTGACGATGGTTATGGTTCCAGTAAACGTATGCCGCAGTCCCTTAATCATCCAGCTACCAAGTCACGCGGGGTCCTACTGTGTGGGGATGTGGTTCCGATCCTGAAGCGCAATGGAGCAAGAGGTTCTGCAAGTATCTGGGTTATGGAGAAGCGAGGTGGTTTGATCTGGGTGATTGAGGAGATTCAAGAGGATGTCGCTTACATCCGTTGCGACAAGGCCTGGAATATTACAGAGACCGATGGGGATACCGACAGATTCTGGGGCCGGGACGTGGTCGTGCCCGGCAAACCGATCACAGACATCCTTCCTCGTCTTCCTAAAGAGTGGTTAGAAGGCCCGGTTGATCAAGGTTTGGCGAAGCTTGGTGAATTGAAGTATTTCGCTGCGCAGACCACTGCAGGAACTTGTTTCCCAGTCACTATTGCAAAAGATACAACATCGGATAGTTTACGGATATCAAGCTTTCCTCATGTTGCAGGCATGATGGTGCTCGCATCGTCGACGCTGAAAGTTATTAGTTCGAACTCAGCGTTTTCTGCAGCTTTGTTTGGTTATGAGCGACCGGAAGGACTCCATGTTAACGAGCTGATCCCCGGATTTGACGATTACTTGAATGTGCTCACTGAGGAGGAGGATGTGTCTCTAGAGGATGGAATTGTGATCCCTGAACCTAGCTTCCGAAGGGCACGAACCCTGTCAATCCTTCGGGAAGGGAAAGCCAACGTTGCCTCAGTCTTTCTCGAACCTAATGGCCTTACTGCCCATCACCGTGATGGCTCGACCATTACCGTGGATGTTCAGCTGCGCGTGGTGAAAAGCGGAACAATTTTCCCAAAGCCGGACGATCAAAGTCCGAGTAACGACGATGATGCCGATTCCGAGAACGATGACACTTTCGCCGTAGCTGAATTGGTTTATGCACTATGGGTCACGTACTCGAGACAAATCCATGCTGCGGGTCTCTCTTCTCCACCTCGTACCGAGTCTCCTCGGGTGAGAAGCCCCTCGGTTGTCCCGGAATCCAGCCTACGGTCGGCGAAGACTTCCCATTTACCACCCTTGAACACGGAGCAGACCTCCGTGGAGACCCGAATACCGACATCGACACTGAGTCAGCAGCTAAGCGAAGCGGCATCAGAGCCGCTCACTGACAAACCCGTACAACTTATACCAGAAGTAAAGTCCGTGAACGCAAAAGAGCCCCCCAAGAAAAGGACGATCACCGATTATGTGATCATCGAGGAGATGGGTCAAGGGGCATATGGGGAGGTGAAACTTGCCCGTCTAAAGAAGAATGCCGCTAAGAAGGTCGTATTGAAGTATGTCACGAAGAAGAGGATTCTCGTCGATACTTGGACTCGTGACCGCCGCCTAGGTACGGTCCCGTTGGAAATCCATGTCTTGGATTACCTTCGGCGGGATGGCTTCAAACACCCCAATATTGTGGAAATGGAAGGGTTTTTTGAGGATGATGTCAACTATTATATCGAGATGATGCCACACGGGCTCCCTGGTATGGATCTTTTTGACTACATCGAACTGAAAGCGAACATGGACGAATCCGAGTGCAGAAACATCTTCCGGCAGGTTGTCGATGCTATTCACCACCTTCACACGAAAGCCTTGGTTGTTCACCGTGACATCAAAGATGAAAATGTGATTCTCGACGGCGAGGGCAGGATCAAGCTGATCGATTTTGGAAGTGCCGCTTACATCAAAAATGGACCGTTCGATGTCTTTGTGGGAACAATTGGTGAGTCACTCTCAATGGATTGCCCCACAAAGTTAATGCTGACCTTTACCAGACTATGCGGCGCCTGAAGTCCTCCAAGGCAAATCCTACCGAGGCAAAGAGCAAGATATCTGGGCTCTTGGCATTCTTCTTTACACCATCGTTTACAAAGAAAACCCATTCTATAACGTCGATGAGATTCTGGACCACCCGCTTCGAATCCCATTCCTGCCGTTTTCGGAGGACTGCATTGACTTGATTAGGCGGATGCTCGACCGAGACGTCGACAACCGTCTCACCATCACCGAGATTATAGAGCATCCATGGATGACTGACAGCGAATAGAACCATTTTGATACCTAGGGGCCACGCATGATGCGTGGCATGCTATCTGGACATGAACATGGAGGGAAACCTCAAAAGACTATATATGAGGGTGTTCTTCGACAGCACGGCGATCATCTACTTTCCATTCGTCTTTACTTTTTCTCGTATGCCTTTTAAGCCACCAGCTAATATACATGACGGAAAGCGTGTCAATGATTTGAATGAGACGGCTCTTATGACCAGACATGATAGAGGTAGGAGCCCGGGAGGCTGTATGATACATGATATGTTGGAAGATGAAGTATATGGATGATATGGCGAGAACCATACACTACAAAACAAGCAATAACAAAGCGAGACGAAGAAGACAAAAGAGAAAGGAGGCAAAGAGCATAGCGAATAAATTATCTATAGAGGCAAAAAGGAGGCTGAGATACCCCCATATCAGAATTGAGCTTTACTTGGCTAAATATGAAAGTGATAAAACCCCTCCAATCTGCACTGGTGCCATGTAAGCCACTCTTTCGCCATGGGTTACAATCATACCAGTAGAGGATTCATTTTATTGTATATGGAAGCAGGGTCCTTGTAAGTTGCCATGCCAAATCAACCCCAAAACTAAAAGTAGTTACACATACAGCCGAATAGTCCTACACGAAACGAAACATCTTTCCCCCAAATTTGCACAGACACAATATAAAGCAAACCCAACAATAGAATGAGAATTCACCCCAAAGTGCGGGGTGGTGTTGAGAAAAGCGGGGGAATACTAAGTTACTACCTGCTAGTGAAAATAAGCCCCAGTGCCATTGATAAAGAAACATTGACTACTACCTTAGTTTACCACGTTACTTGACGGAGTTTATTAATCGTTCCGGCTAATTTACTGCTTTGAATGAGCTACCGTCCAGTCATTTCGGTGGGGGATATTGGGCTGGAGAACGGACCACTTTTTTAAGTATTTGGTTGAATGTATCGTCGCTCCTTGCTTCCTTGGCAAAGCTGCTGGGTGTCCTGGTGCATATTAGGCAATTATTGTAAGGCATGTTGTTATGGGGAGGTGTGGACGTATGCACTACGAGTAGGGTACGGTAAGGGGGAGTGAGGTTTATGCGTTTTGCGTATACTTGACTACTCTTCTTTTTTTTTTTTTTTTTTTTTT